CACCAGGCTCCAGCCCCCTGTCTTAGTGGCCCTCCCTTCCCCAGAATTGTCCAGTATGTGGGTCTCTGCTGGTGCAAGAGAAAACACAGTGCTTCAGATGCATCTTCAGTCCATCCCTCCACCTCAATAATACATAGAATCACTAAATTATTTAGGTTGGAAAAGATCTATAAGATCATTGGATCCAACTAACACTGACAAGCACACCACTTAACCATGTCCCCAAGTGCCACATCCACAAGTCTTTTAAATTTCTCCAGGGATAGTGACTCCACCATTGTTTTGGGCAGCCTGTTTCAATGACTGACAACCCCTGTTATCTGTGGTCTTGCTTGCAACTACCACAGATTGATGGCTTGGTTCATCTTGTTCACTCAGTCATTGGGTTCTTTATACATCACTTTGCTTCATGGCTAGCAGTTCAAAACTTCCATTGCTTTTAAAATGTACAATGAGCTCCTTGGCCTTGTTAAAATCAAATTCTTCAATCAAAATCACACTGGTTTCTAGCACTGGCTATTTAAAATCAACTCACAAAAAGCTGCCATAAAAATGGTGTTGTCACAAAAGTTGTAAAATAAAAGAAGACTCAAACATGTAGTGATGAGGTATGGAAGCAAGGCTTGTGAGACTCTTGGGGTCTTCTGTATGAGTATTGCAGCTGTTACAGATAGCTTTACTAGTTGTTTGTACTGACAATATGGATCTGGTAAAAGATGCTTTTTTCATAATGCAAAATCTGTGTTGTGTAACTTCTGCAAGTATTTACTTTTTCAGGGCAGAGAAGCAGCGTCAGACAAAATTAGCTCACTGACTGCAAAGAGAATATAAGCGTACAGAGTTGTGCAACAGGGAACTCTTACTGGACTTAAGAAAGAATTTGACACCACAAACAGAAGGAGAGCTTGTAAGATGGGAATTAATAATATTATAATTTTGATCTGCACCCGCAAAAGACATTATCTGCATCATCCTCCCATATGTAAGATTCACAGAATCTCAAGTTGGAAGTACCCGTAAGGACTGAGTCTAACTCCCCGCTCTTCACAGGACTGCCTAAAACTAAATGACATGACTAAGAGCATTGTCCAGATGTTCCTTAAAGATTCAACAGTGTTGCTGAAAGGATAGGAAGAGAGAGTTGAAATAATATTCCTTTAATGAGATTTGAATAGCAAAGCTCTAAAAATTTCTCATTACTTATTTTCACAATACTCTTCAATCCTGTGCCTGATCAAAAGCTTGTTTTCTTGTGGGTAGAAATTTCTGTTTGGAGTAATTTAGCCATAAATTACTCACATCTTCAAGCAGAAATTTTGCAAATATAGGCTGCTATATTTGCAATATGTCTATTCTAAATAAGTAATATCCTGCCTTCTGAAAGTTGGGTTCTCTTCTCTTGCCTCCACCAAGGAAGCACATGATTGCTTTTCAGATTGATCTGACCTAACTTCAAATTACTGAAACAACTGCAGATCAGGTGATTAACAGCCAAATTATTGACTCATCTTCATGATTAATGGAGAAAGACATATTTTCCTTCCAGCTTATGAACAGGAGCTACAGTGCATCACTTTCCGCTGGTACCTGTCTCTCACCATGGATTGTGTTGGGCCCCTATGGCAGCTAATTTTGGCTGCATAATTAACATGTCTGCTCTCCAAAAGACTGGGCAAAACAGCTATGCCAAATTTGGAGGAGCAGGAGAGCTTGGTCTGCAGCATGAGAAGGGTGTTAAAAGGCCAAGATGCATTTATCTCAAAAGGCCCAAGAAGATTGTTCCCCAGAGCAGATTTCTCACCAGCTTCATTTAGCAGCTTATTAAAAAGGACAGAATTGATTTTCTTGACTATATGTAACAACCACATAATGAGCATGAGTGAGTGGGCTCCCATTACATCTGGGCTTCAGCTCTTTCCAAGAACAAACTTGTTCAAAAATAAGTTATGGAGTTGTATTAGTTTGCAGAACTGCAGCTTTCTAGAAGCAGAATTATTTGTGTTCATGTCACCCTCAGTGCCTCACTCCTGACATGTCCCCTATAATTTTTTGTCATGTGGTAGATGGAAGCAACTAGAACATTGTCTGAGGGTGTTTCTCTTTCTATTGTTGTTCCTGGATATCAACCTTTGATGCATCATTTAAAACATACATCAACTGCTTTTGGGTAAACTCCCAGGTTTAACAGTAAATTACAGTAAATAAAAAATAATTGGTATTCAGCACTCAAATAGCAATTTCATACTATGGCTTATCCTTGTGACACTTCTCCCTAAGGGTCTTGAGTACCTCAGAATATTTATCCCATCAAGTTAATGCAAACTATTTAAAATTACTCCATTTGCAGCTATTATTAAGTGTTGTGACATGCTATGATTTTTCTCTTCAATTTATTTCTTTTAATATTTCCCATAGGAACTAAACAAGTCAAAAGTCCCTTCAAGCTTAAAAAAGGGTGGATTTTAATCAACTGCCCAGAGAATGTCTGTTTATGCTCAAGTGGAGTTAATAGGTTTCAATAGCAACCCCACAATGGCCTGAAACAATGAGGTGTTTGAGTCTAAATGGATTTTACAGTATTGTACGTGAATGTGATTTTAAAATTCATATAAAAACTTTCCCATATCATGTTCATGCATACTTCATGCGTATTTTAGTATTTCATCTTTGGCTTCTGTATGCTATTTCTGGCAGAGCTGAAGCACTTCCTGGAGCCGTAGGTATTGTTAATTACTACTGGCATAGTAATATGATGAAGATACATACTGATTTTAGTGCATGTCCTTCTTAAGCACTATGATGGTAAATAACAGTGTGTATTGGCAGGCATTGCAATTCCTGGTTTGTTTAGTTTTTGGTTTTTTGTTTTTTTTTTTTTTAAGAGCTTATTTCGTCTGGATATGAAACATATCAGAGCACATTTGTTTTCTGGGAAGATAAAGGTACGGAGCATCTCCCCATATTCACCAGCATACATGTCTACTGCTAACACCATTCATTCCCATATGTAAGCCTCATCTGATCTTGACAGTACTTCTTTTTTTAATAAACCCACAGTTCTTTCAGTTCACTTGGAACACAAAATCTTAATACTATCAATCTGATGAGATTTCTAGAGGTTAGTATTTCTTCCATGATTTTTATTTTTCTGGGTCATTGCCTTGCACAAGGTTACATGGGCAGAACATCTAAACAGCTAGTAAACTGTTACTATTGCAATTTCTTTGGCACTTGCTTCCATTCTCTGATCAATTCATAGTACATATGAATTTGCTTCTTTGCGCACTTATTTTACATACTTTTCTTTTACCTGCATTAGACAATGGTAAATGGGTCCTTCATTGAGCATAGCTCTCTAAATATGTTATGTGTTACACCTCTTCATCTTTCTATAAATTATGGTAAATGGCTTTCAGCAAAGTTAATAGTGACACAGTGTGTCAGCTTTGGCTGCAGGATTATTTTACATGGGCTAAGTGTCACTCTTTAAGCAGTTGATTTCTAAAAAAAGAAGTAACTGTCCTGTCATGTCTCTTCCCTGTACTTTGTCCCCAAGTCATCGTCAATCTTGCTAAACAAAGGAGGGTTCACCGTGCCACAAGTGGCTGTGCTTTCTGACAGTTCTGAAGATGAAAGGTCCCCACTGGCACTTACTGTAGCTGGGCTTGATTGAATCCCGCAATTGTTTTCCTTTGCTTCTCGGATGGACAGTGGTTACATACCTCATGTCGCCATCCTGAGACACCAGGGAGCTCTAGCATCTTTCCAGCGTCTTCAGCATTTTTATAATATTCCACAGCAGGAGTTCGTCTTTTATTTGCAGCTCAGAAAATTTCTTCTTGCAACCCTACCAGATTATCTCCTACCACTGGCTAGAGACCTTGAATCTCTTCTCCTCAGATTAAAGTCTGTAAAGGGATTTGTTTTGAATGTTGCTGCCTATTTCACTGCAATAACTTTCATGCTTTTTAGAAGCAGGGGAAATGGGTTGAAAAATGGGTTACAAAATCTCTGGTGGCCTGCTGGTTGAGAATACGTATTTTCATGTTTAATTCATTTTTTTTTCCCTGAAACTCTTGCCAATGCTGTAGACAAAACCTGCTTGCAAAAAATGTAAGCTGCTCCCAGTGGCCTGGAAATATATTGGGTTTCCATTTTTATCACGAGTTTTCTCATAGCCACATGTGGGAAGGATGTCAGGAGGCAGGTGCCTTGGCTGTGCCTTTAGGAGGTTCATTCTGGTTATCACTGTGTGAGGTACTTCAGCCTGGTCAGCATGCACATAGTGCACATTTTTTGCTCTATAGAAAATGAGACACTTAAAAAACAACTAGTTCAATTTGTTAAGTCTTGTAGTACTTGTAGAAGAGATGTGATCTTTTCCATACTGTGACCTAAAAGAGAGGTTTTCTTCTCTTCTCCAAGTTATACTAAACAGCTGTGGAATTTGGCTGTTTATTTTTGTTTACATTTAAATTTTATTTTTCAGGTTTACATGTTGGGTTTTTTTAATATATTTAAGTTTGTGTTCTCAATCAACTGGCACAGGTTGCCCAGAGAAGCTGTGAATACCCCACCCCTGGAAGTGTTAAAGGCCACGATGGACAGGGCTTTGAAATCTGGTCTAGTGGAAAGAGGCCCTGCCCATGGCAGGGGGGTTGGCACTAACTGACTGATCCTTTAAGGTCCCTTCCAACCCAAACAATTCAATGAATCTATGAACTTAATTCTTCAAAGACTGAAAGAAACTGCTGTCTTTCTATTTTAAGGATTACTAGTTCATCTTAGATTACTAGTTTATCTTTAATTTATGCCATTAAAACTGGGAATACTATGGAAGAATAAAAATGTAGCTGTGTGTAATTAAAAAAAAAAACAAGAACAACCAAGACATAACTCAACCTTAGGTAAGGAACTGGACTTGCTAGCAAGAACTTAAAAAAATAAAATCTCTTTTTAAAATCTATTATCCATTTTGACTAGTGTTTCTTTCCCCAAAGGGTGTTATTCTTTCAAGTTTTGAAGTGAAGCCACTGATAGTAGTTTCAGTAAGAGAATTTTGCCCTGCTACTAGGTAAGTAAAAAGAAAAAACTGTCTTTATTCTTGTTTCTATGGGGTTTTTTTCCAGTTTTGATAACAGTGGGACTATTCTTATGGTTAAGAGCATAACTGAATCAGGCTCTCAGTTTACTGTTACTGTTTGTATATCAAACAAAAATATTTCGCATATACTTTCTGCCACTTCTACTAGTACTTTAACCTTTACAGTTGTCTAGTTCATTTATTACAATAGATGTGAATTTCTATTATCTGAGAAAAACTACCTGATGTTCACGTTCTTTGATAATCAGGCTGCACCATGACAAGTTGCTTCATGTTCCACTGGAAGCTTTTTATTTTATTTTTATTTTTATAGGTGCAAAAGACAACTTTTAGCTGAGACAAGCTTTGCACAACTCCTGACTCAATCTGGTGGGACTCTGCCTGTGAGACGAGATGGAACACTTGCTGCTCAAGCACCATGAAGCTACTGGGTTGAATTTGTTTGACACAGACAGGGACACAGAGTCAGACCTGTACATCATTAATTCAGCCACCAGCAGCTAACTCTGCCCCTGCATTCAACTAGCTCTGATCACTGAGCTCACTGATCACAATTAAAAAGGTTTATTTTGAAAAAGTGTCACTTTTTTTTTTAAACACTTAGAGATGTATAAGTGTACATTATCTCTTCTGAACTCACAATTCATGAAAAGATTTCAGAAGATCAGACCTACAAGTAAACTTATAGTTCCTTCTTGAGTTTGATTATATTATAGTTTGAGATCAAGGGTACAATCTTGCTTTGAACTCATGTAGTAAATAAACTTGAAAAAACCCTCACTGTAATTAGTTTTTTTCCCTTACCCATAACATTGTCTGCAGGATTAGGCTCAATGTAGTAATTTATTGAGTACTTATGCAAGTTGCTGAGCCCTCTGAGCTCCCACAGATGTCAGCTGGATTTGAATACTGATGGCTGAATTAAGTATCACAAGAATATTAAAAGCAGGGTTTATAAATCACTCCTTTCCCTTGTTACTGATAGTAGTTATTGCCACTTATCATATTGAGTATTTCTTTATTTAACCTGAAATAGTCACTGAATTCACAGATAGATTTACATCTGACATTGTGTTAATGAAGAACTATCTTATGAAAAAAGATAACTGTCTTATAAGAAGCCCTGTAAACCACCCATACTACTTCTATCAGATGAAAGTGAAAAGGAATTAGGTAACCTATTCCTTAATTTTCAAATAAAAATGACCTCTCTCAACACTGATGGAGAAATAAATAATCATGGGAATCACCAGGAAAGCTTATTTTATGACTTTTCTTTTTAATGTTGACTAGGAAAGAAATAAATGTTAATGATAAAAAAATGTTAAGTAGACTTGATAATAGCTTATACATATATTTATAAGCACATTCTATTTAATTTTAAGGAGAAAAATCAGCAATTCCCCAATATTGCAGATATTTGAATATGATTTTTTTAAATTTTTTATTTAAAATTTTAAATTGATTGAGCTAAGACATGCTAATTATACTCATAAGAGATATATTAATTTTGAACCCACATTCTAAAGTGACTGTAAATAAACACCTAATGTGGTGTTTGCCTTGTTTACTTTTAAGTGGTGACTTCAGATAAAATATTTTGGGGATTGTCTGGTTGTTCAACCCAGAAAAGAGAGGCAAGAAAGGAGCAAAAGGAACAAGTATTTGACAGTCTGTTCACTGTAGTTTATTTTACTGAGGCTTAACATGTGGGACTTCTGGAATATATTATTAGCTTCAGTGGTAAGCAATCTCTGGTAGAGTTGAATTAGCAGAAACTAGATGGGTTAAAACAAGAGAGAAAATAAATTGTCTCAAACTTTGATATTTTAGAATTTCAGCATGAGCTGAAGTTCCCAAGAGTCCAGGAAAGCATCCCCTCCCATCATTCCCTCCCCACCCACTGTCAGTTGACAGCACTTTCATGCATCTTATTCATGAATTATGAGCTGAAATATGTGAGGCAGTGACTCTTTAGAAGATGGAAATTAGAAGAGTGTCATGGAGGTTCATTGCGCTAGGATCATTCTTAGGATCTGACCTTTTGTCTGCTTGCTTGCTTTGTAACTAGACTTCAGTGATAAATGCAAAAAAAGAAAAAAACCTAACTGCTCCACAAAATGATAAAAAAAATACCAACTACCCCACAAAAACCTGCCCCCTCTAATTCCAAACAAATATTTATGTCAGTGTTAAAACACATTCTACTCCTCTTTTTATTTTTTTTTCTGCAGATGCTGTGAGACTTGATGGCAAGAGACTAAGAAGAACAGGTATCATTCGCATGCATGAATAGTTATAAGAACTGCAACTCAAGCCCATCTTTACCCATGATCATTGGGAAATTGCTTGCTTACAGGGAAAAGTAACACCAACTTCATTACTAGTTGAAGCTTAACAGCAAAGCTTGATACATGTATGTGATGAATCTATCAAACGAGTAATTAAAAAGAATAAATATGAAAAATTACCATAACTGAGGTGATTTGATTGATACTGAATTATTAATATTAATATTTGTTGATTAAATACTTTCCTCTAATTTCTACAATTAGTAAAATGTACTTCTCACTGGAATTGATGCAATGATGGCACATGATTCAACATTGCATGCAAAGAGTTGTGGTCAACAGCTCACTGTCCATATGGAGACCAGTGGCGAGTGGTATCTCTCAGGGGTCTGTACTGGGGCTGATACTGTTCGACATCTTAGTCAGTGACATGGACAGTGGGATCAAGGGCACCCTCAGCAAGTTTGCTGATGACCCTAATCTGAGTGGTGCAGTCACACACTGGAGAGAACAGATGTCATCCACAGGGACCTGGACAGGCTTGAGAGCCAGGCCTGTGGCAACATCATAAAGTTCCACAAAGCAAATTGCAAGGTCCTACACCTGTGTTGTGGCAATCCCAGACACACCTACAGGTTGGCTGGAGAAGTGATTGAGAGCAGCTCTTTGGAGAAAGACTTGGGTGTGATGGTTGATGAAAAACTCAACATGATCTGGAGTGTGTGCTCGCAGCCCAGAAAGCCAAACATGTCCTAGGCTGCATCCAAAGGAGTGTGGCCGGCAGGTGGGGGACGAGATTCACCCCCTCTACTCTGTGCTTGTGAGACCCCACCTGGAGTACTGGGTACAGTTCTGGTGCCCCCAACATAAAGACATGGAACTGTTGGAGCAAGTCCAGAGGAGGGCCAAGAAGTTGGTAAGAGGACTGAAGCACCTCCCCAGCAAAGAAAACAGGCTGAGAGAGTTGTCTGCTCAGCCTGGAGAAGAGAAGGTTGTATGGAGCCCTCATAGCAAACTTCCAGTATCTGAAGGGGGCCTGCAGGAAGCAGGATAGGGACTGTAGTGACAGGACAAGAAATAATGGTAGAAATTGAAAGAGAAGAAATTCAGGTTACAAATTAGGAAGAAATTTTTCACTGTGAGGGTGGTTAGACGCTGGAACAGGTTGTCCAGCAAGGCTATGGATTCCCTAACCTTGGCAGTGTACAAAGCCAAGTTGAATAAAACCTTGAGCAATCTGGTCTAGTGGCAGGGAGGGTTGGGACTAGATAATCTTTAAGGTTCATTCCAACCTCTTAGCATTCTATGATTGTAAGATTCTATGATACGACTTGCAAGAAGGAAAAGATATTGATTGATTTCAGTGAACACTGCGCTTACAAATTGACTTGCACAGTATATATAAAAATTAACTACACAGGCTGGAAGTTTTTCAGTTTGCAAATAATAATTAATTATACCCTTTTGACTTGCAACTTGAAATGTAACCTTTAACTTTTCGATAACTTAAGACCCTAGGTCACAAATTAAAATACAAAGGTTTGTTCTATGAGTTTAAAGAAAATAACAAATCCGTATAACTCAGTTTACCAGGTGACTTTTGAGCATGCAGCATTTTCTGACAGCTAATTGAAAAACATCTGTGGACACAGACTTGGCAAAATGACTGTTGCTGCCTTCTGCGCCTTGATTTTAGGATTGACAGAGTGCTTGTAACACTTGGAAGGTTACCCCTACATTAATTGTTGCTTCAACGGGATCCTCTAACAGACTGTAAGTTAATATTCTCCCTGGCAGTGATTTATAAATGTGCTTTTCAGCAAAGATAATAATCTTATTAACTTTTGCACAAGATAATTGTTGCTGCAGCAAGTAATTAATGAATTTTATGAGATTGTTGGATTCCTAACTGTCATGGGAGCTGCAGACTGCATGCACTTGGCAATGCATGCATCACCACATGATGACTAATGAGGCAAGGCAAAGAAATCAAAAATTTTTTCATTCCCTCAACATGTAGTGTAGTTGATGCATGATTGCAGATATAAAATCATTGATGTACTTGTCAAGTTTCCAGGATCTTGTCATGATTTATTCAGACTTTGACAATCAGGAGTAGGTCAATATTTTTAAGATGGTCAGATTCAAGGAGACTAGTTAATAGATAAGTGGAAGTATTGCTTGTAAGTAAAACATTGAATATATATTAAAAATGAAATTATTATTTACAGCTTGCATTTTTAGGTCACAGTTGTTCTCCTCTGAAGAAATAACTAATGACTATGGTTCAAAATCCCTAAACTCTATCTGAGTGACTTTATAATGAGACAAATAAATTCATAAGAGCTATAATTGAAAGAAATATGGCAATCTGAGAAAATAATACAAATGCCTCTCCAATTGTGGGTGGCATTTTATAAGAAAAAACTGTTTGAATATTTGTGAAACTTTACTCATGTTCTACATATAATGCAATCAATCAGGCCTATAAAATTAAAAATATATAATAAAAATATGTAATATAAAATATATAATAGAAAATAAAATATATAATAAATATCTGAGGAAGAGAACGAGGCAGCATGTCAAAATATAAAAGTATACTCAGAAAATTAAAATTAGTCTGGTAACATGACTTTCTATTTTGTTTACACATAAGAAGAAACATTTATAATTATTTGGTTTATTTTTATGAGGTATCAAGTAAAGTTCAGGTTTGTTGTTGTGCATTAAATTTCTTCTCACGAGGTGTATATATTTTCTATGAAGTGTATTTTTAAATATATGTTTCTCACAAAAGGGATTGTTTTTTCACCACTGTGGCCTTTGGAGACCCAGTAATTACACGATGATAGTCTTCTACCTTATGTACAGTATTTGACTTGTTGAAATAAGAGCTGAAGAATTAACTGTCACACACCTTACTATCACAGAATCTTCTGACTCACAAGGATCATTGAGCCCAACTCTTAAGTGAATGGCCTGTATAGGGATTGAACTCACAACCTAGGCATTATCAGTACCATGCTCTAACCAACTGAGCTAGTCTCAGGGTTGATAGTCTCCCACAGTATCCCTTAGGACAAAATGTTCAGCATGCCGCTGAATAACCGTGTTATATATAATGGGTGAGGAAATGGCTCATAGGTTGGGCAAAAGGACTT